TATATATATATGAAGTCTGTTAAGAGATTTCCGTATTTGCGGACAAAACAACGCATCTATGCTCCCGCATTTGTGAGCAAAAATCCCGCATCTGTGGCTCGACTAACCAGACCAGGAATGCACCTATGCAGAGGCAATCACAACTTCGACCCTGCAGAAGCGAATGACCACCTGAAGCCTCAATCACGCACCTATGATCCTTTTCCCCAGATGTGCACCAGCACCTGTGGTCCTTCACCCACAGAAGCGGAACACCTGAACATGCCAAAATCTCGCAGAAGCGACCAAAATCTCGCAGAAGCAGAACCGCACCTGCGCTCGCACTTGCGCATTTGCAGAATGCCATAACTATGCCTGTCAAAGAACATGGAAATCATCTGAGACTTAATCGAAACACACCAGAGGCTCCCGAGACCCTATCTAATAACATCAACCAGTCCTAAAACATAATGGGGACCTGTTCGAGGCCTTAAATCATACCAAAAAAATCAAAACTACGAATCGCACCCCAATTCAAGCCTAACAAACTATTGAACTTTCTACTTCCAAACTCACTCCGAATCATATCAATTCAACTCGGTTGACCTCAAATTTTGCATGCAAGTCCTAAATGACACAACAGAGCTATAACAACTCCCGGAATCACAATCCGGACCCAATATCAACAAAGTCTACTTCCGGTCAAATCTCTCAACCTTCTAAACCTTCAACTTTCCAACTTTCGCCAAAAAGCATCAAATAAACATACGGACCTCCAAATCCAAATCTCATACGCCTAAGTCAAAATTCACCATACAAAGCTATTGGAATCATCAAAATACCATTCCGGAGTCATCTACACAAAGTTAAACTCTGGTCAATTCTTATCATTTAAGCTTCTAAAACAAGAATCATTCTTTCGAATCCCAAATCGCCCAAAAACTAAAATCGGCCATACACACAAGTCATAATACATAATATGAAGCTTCTCAAGACCTTAAACCACCGAACGGAACGCTAATGCTCAATACGACCGGTCAGGTCATTATATTCCGCCCCTCTTAAACAGACATTTGTCCTTGAACGTGCTAAGAAACGTTTCGAAGTTATCAAATCACTGAATGAACTCACCATACACATATTCATGGGAGATCCCACGCTACCCAAATCCACATAAGCCCAATAACACCATCTCAACTGAAGATTATTCCTTCCACCCTTATCGATAGGCCTTAGAACAAAATTTCAACATTTGATCATCCCCCAAAAATCTGATTCCCACACATAACGGGTTGTACCGGCATAACACCCAGAACTTGACTGACATGAGCCCGTTGCTCTGGAGTATGAGCGGCGGGAGTTGAGCTCCTCCCTAGTCTGTGAAGTAGCTGGTGCAATTGGATCAATCCCACTTGAGCCAATGTACCAACCATGCTCAGGAACTACGCTAAAGTCTCTTGAAGTGTAGGGGTAGCATCAGGCGCCTGTTCCCCAACCAGAGCTACTGGTGGTTTATCAGCTGCTATTCTGTTAGGTGCTCTAGCTGCGGTAAATGCCCCTCCTTTACCTCTACCTCGGTGCCAACCTCTCCCAGCTCTAGAAAGAAGCGTGGATGTCTACTTAGCTGATCTGGTAGTGCGTGTCCTTACCATCTATGAGAGAATAAAAATACAAAGGCTCAAACTCCAAAATCAACAATTCTACATGATAGGGATGAAAGAAGTGGAACTTTTCATAATAATTTCGTAGCCTCTTGAAGATAAGTACAAACGTCTCTGTACTGATCCACAAGACTCTACTAAACTTGCTCGTGACTAGTAGAATCTATGAACCTAGAGCTCTGATACCAACTTGTTATGACCTAAAATCCCGCCTTAGGCATCCTGATGGCACCTAGTCTCTAAGAGTAGATGAGCCGGTTACATACAAAAGTTAACTAGTTAAGCATGATATATTAAAGCAGATTTTAAAATAATTATTGAAATAAAGGTAACGCAAGCCTACACGGATTTAATGATAACAATGCTCCTAAGACTAGGTAGTACAGAGTCATGAACTCTAGCTGAACACATAGAAACATCTCAAAACAAAATATAATATTGTTCGGATAGTGAATTAACAATACAAATAAAAAGAAAAGGATTCTAAGGGATTGCGGCGAGCGAACAAATCTACCTTGAATTCTCGTGACCAAAGAAGTGAACCCTGCCCGAGTTTGTTATCTCTAATACCTGGATCTACACAAAAATGTGCAGAAGTGTAGTATGAGTACACCACAATCGGCACCTAGATAGATCAAAAATAATTTTAATTGATTTTTAGGATTTGTTTCTTTATTTAGTTGCGTTTCATGCATTTTTAATATTTTAAAAATCATAAAAAAATTGTTGCATTTTATTTTCATGCCATCTTAGGTTCAATTTGCATGTAGGAATTAATTTTATTAAGCAAAAAATTACAAAAATGGTCATTTTTATATATTTAGGTTTTAGTCTTTAAAATTAGCATTTTTCTTTAGTTTTAAGTTAATTACTCATTTAATGTTAAAAATAAATAAATAATTTTAATTTCTACAAAATAGATTAATTCAGGACTTAATTAATTTAATTAAGATTTTTAAAATTAAAGAAAAGAAAAAAAAGAAACAAAACAAAGAAAGAAAAGAGGAATTAAGCTATTTTTGAGTCTAATTTCGGATATGGGCCAATTTGCATGGCCCAATTCCCTCAAAAAATGCCCAGCTCACATCTCTAACCTACCCAAACCCCTTACCCTTTAATAAAAAATGCCTAGACCTAGACCTAAAAGAGTACTCTCGATCCCATCTGAAAAAGAACGAAGAACAGACCCTTACACAGAGCAAAAACGGTGCACAACACCTTCCTATTCCAAGGCTTTTTCTTCATTGTTCTCCAAAAACCATAACCGAAAAATCAAAATCCCCCCTATCTGAGAAGCAACGCTGTTTGCTGGCCTCTTCTTCCTCATAAACACACATGGAAAACTAAAAAAACGCAAAAATAGTAAAAAGCAAAAGTTCTGCGATCCAAAATTGAATCCGAGATCTGTAATAGCAAAAACTTTCAAAAGAAAAGAAGTAAAAATAGTATAGAAAGGAATCTCTAAAGTGGGAAGCTACTGCCGATTTATTTTGGTGGTTGGTTTGGGAATTTTTGTATTTGTGAGTTGATTTTTGGCTGGGATTTCGCTGAGCTGAGCTGCTGTTATTTCCTCCTTCACTGACTGAGCGCCATCGCCCAGTTCCCGATCTGGATTTGTTTTTGTTTAGCTGATCGTTCCTGTAATTAGGTACATAAACGCTTGCCTAAAATATTCCGTTGTTTTAATGAAATTTCAATCTCATACTTGATTTTCATTTTCATAAATTGTTTCCTTTTTGTTTACCTTTATTGTTTTAATCGTTTGGTTTCTTTTAATTTTTCTATTCCTCCCTCTTTTACCAGTGTATTAATTCTTTTCCCTCACTTCTTTTGCTCATTTTTTTTGTTTTGAACGGAAGTGCTGATGTATTTGTGCTTGGCTTGTCAGTGTAGTACAGTTCATGTGATTTTAGTCTTCGCTTTCTTAGAGTTTGTCTATTTTGTTGGTGTGAGTTCTTTGTTTTCGAAGTTATTTTGCGTAATCTTTTCTTTGTTATTGCAATTTCTTTATTTGTACCATGTGTATATGAAAGTCAGTTCCCTATTTTTTTTTAATAATTGTTAGATATTTTTTACAGGCATGTTAGTATTTGTTCCTTATTTTTACAAGCATTATATCATTTCGGTGAATTCTGTTTTTGTTACCAACAACTTATTTGAAGTGGGCTAGGCATCCTAGGTGTTTGATGATATGTTAATAAGAGCTGAATCTGGACTTCCTGTTCTGTTACATTTCTTTACTCATGATTATGTGCTGCTTTCCCCATAGATGAAAATTACATTTCATTTGATTTAGTTACTCGCGTGAATTCATCTACTGACTTTGTTTTTTTTTTTTTTTTGGATTTCCATCTTCTATAAATCTTTTAAAGATTTGATTTCGCTTGTCCATTCATAAATACTTTACCAACTCTTCGTCTCTACACTTCCTTCCAC